CTGTTCTACTTGGCCGATGCTCTGGCAGGCTGGGTTCCGGCTATCTGATGGGACCCTGGTGCAGGCTAAGCCTCCAGGCAGCTGTGTGGGCAGGCAGGACAGCTGGTCTCTTCCAGGTGGAATGTGCTAGAGGCCAGATGTGTCCGAGCAGGAGGTGCCTGCTCACAGGAAACACTTGGCTCCAAGTGGCTGGGAGAGCTTGCATCTGACTTTGTCAGTGGCTCCCTAATCCACCGCTCCACTGGTCCCAGCCCCCCAGCCCCCAATCCAATGCTGTACCCCCACTCTTCCCAGAAAATGAAGCAGCCTGGCATTGCGAACACTTGCTGTCAGACACCCTGATGCCCTAGCAGACAGACCCCACGTCATCCTGGCTGCTTCCCTTTTCATGCCTTGCTGCAACACTCCCCACATCCGTGCAGCCCCAGGCGCCCCAGTCTCTACTCCGAACTGTTTCATCACCGTGCATGTTGACGGCAAAACGTTTCTGGCACAGAGGTAGGTCCGGGAGAAGACTGAGGTGAGGAAACGGTGCATCGACTGCCCACAGGGTTCAGAAATAGTTTGACTGTCTCACCAGGCTTTCACTGAGGAGGAGGAGGATGGTGAGGGTTAGGGATGATGCCAACTAGACAATCCTGGGTAAGGGTAAGAGTGGGGCTCAGCCTATCAATTGGGTCACAGCCTGATGACGCTTCCTTGGTATCCTAAGCCTTTTTGTATAAGAGAGAGACTGCGCAGAATCGACTCCTCTTTGAGCCTCTGCCTTTTGCCAGAGCTGTAGCCTGAGTCTGGTTTCTTGATCCCTGTTGTGTTACCTGCCGATCTCAGGAGCTGTCAGCAGATTACCGATGGTGGATTCATTCGGCTGGCTTCAGGCCTCTGCAGCCACCAGCCTGTGCCCCTGCTTGCTTCAGGCTTCTGCAGCCACCAGCCTGTGCCCCTGCTGTCTTCAGGCCTCTGCAGCCACCAGCCTGTGCCCCTGCTGTCTTCAGGCCTCTGCAGCCACCA